TTGCATAATATATCTAATCATAGTAAATCTCATTTATGAATATAAAACTTATATTTGATATGAATTTAATTTTTTAGTCAACTTTTTGTTTTTGTTTATAGTTTTGTCATTACTTTGATTATAAATTTTGATTTATAAGTTAATAAAATAAATACTCAACTATACTGGTAAATTATTGTATGAATTGTGTGATGAACTTGATCAAATAATTAGCCTTTTGAATTGAAGTTCAATATATTGAAAAAAATTAAAATTATTTTTGTTCTATTTTATCATAAAATTCATTTATTTCTACATTAATTGAATTCATTTGTATTTCTGAAATAATATAATCGATAGAAATATTTAATTATGAAAACTTGTTTAAAATTATTTTATGAGAAATTACATACAAATGACAATAGAATTTATATAATGAATGGCATACTGTATAATAAAACTATACTAATTTTTATTTGACTGTATAAAAAAGTTACCAGGGTATAAAACAATTTGTATAAAAGTGTTGATGAATTCATGCATTGATTCATACAATAGCCTCAAATCGGCAATTTGTTGAAAATTATTTATTACTTTTTATTTCATTAAATTTTTAATGAAATATTGAATTAATTAATCTAAAAATCATTGACAATAAATACGCCAAACATTGCAAACTATGGTTTTTATTCACATATAATAAATAAAATAAGATTTTCTGATACTTTAAAATAAATACACATTTATGTATTTATATTTATCTCAATATTAGATTTTTTTGTATTGATTGCATGTATGCCACAGAATCGGTACCACATTCAGCATCGGTTTCTATCGGGCAGTCAAACGGCTGCAGTGTATCCTTACGGATATAAACGCCTACATCGGACAGCATCGGGTAATCGCCGGGTGTTGCGGCCAAACACTTTAAGTTAACCTTAAATCCCAGCCCATTGGCGAGGGCTGAGTGAATGTCAGCCAACGGGTAGGCTATGGTGAGCGACGGTGTGATACCGGCGTCGGCCAACCACTTATCGATCGACAGCTTTTTAAATGCCGTCAAAGTGTTTGCGAAGTAATTGTGTTAACCCCTGAGGAGCGGCACTTTCATGGCACAGGTGCCGTATTGGGTCCACTCTCTCTCTCTCTCTCTCTCTCTCTCTCTCCCAGAAGTCATCGTTGGTCTTCGACGCCTTCAATGCGCCCCACTTTTGGCTCAGTTCCGGGCGTATGGACGCGGTTTTGGAGACATCGAAGTCCTTATAGAAACAGCAGTGTTCAGCTCACGAGCCGTTATTATACTTAGGCGTCACATCATATATGGACCAGATATCCGGATGAGCCACACATTGGGTGGTCTCGCAGACGCTTTGGGGCCATATCAAGCTCAGTAGGTGGTAGTCATAGTCGTAGTCCTCGTAGCACCCCCGGTGCCCTTACGGCTAGGCATCGCGTGTACACCACTCGCTTTGATAGCGATCAGCGGTAACCATATTCTTATGGCAAACATATTCTCGACTTTTAATCAACCTTTTTGTTTAATATATGGTTTGTGAAGACAAGAGTTGGGTTTTAAGAGACAATAATTTTGGACACGTATTCAAAGTGAGAGATAGAGAGACACTGAAAGGTATGGGTTAGGTTGGGGACAAATATGGTTTATACTTAACATTTAATTAAAAGTATGACCGATTTTAATTTACAAAATTAATTAGATCTCGATATAACGTTAATCATAAAGGAGATACTAAGGACATGGACCTAATCTGTGGGCTAAGATCTATTCATGTTAACACATATCCATAATATACAGTACTTTAATCAATGTGCTAATTATGAGATATATTCTAGAATTTGTTACTTAAAAATAATATATAAATTATTTTAACTACATTATGATATGTGTGCACACAGTTGTATCACAAATCAAATGTTTTATTACCAGTAATATTTTTAGGATAATTTTGAACTTTTGAATTTTTAATTACTAGTACTGAAAGGGTAAATCAAATCGCATTCAATTGCCAAATAACTATTTACAAATATTTTGTAGCCATTTTTAACTGACTCGTGAATGTTTTTTTTATCAATTTATTTAATTTCATAGAATTTTACAAGTTTATTTATCGACAAAATAAATCATGGATATTTTTTTCATTTATTCATATAAAATATAACAATCACCAATACTTTGTTATCGCAAACAAGTGATTAAAATCCTTATACTTTAAAAACTTTGTTACAAATAAAATATTTGTTTTATAACATTTCATATTAATTAAAATAACTATAATTTATAACTAATTGATTGTCTAACCAAGGCAATATTCCGGTTCTTTCTTATTGTTTATAAGCCTTCTGTACAAATAAAAACAAATCAAAAATTAACACAACTGTCCACAAAAATACACCAATAATGAGCTACCGGTTCAGTATCTCCGCCTCTTCAAAGGTATCCGCAATATGTTTGCCACGAGTTTCGGGCAAAAAATGTATAGTAATTCCGTCGACAATGGAAAGGGTGCCAAATATGGACAGTACGAGTCCCATACCGGTGTAGGTGCTCTGGGAACACAAACACATATTAATAGCAAACTATAGCTATATTACAAGAATTTATTTAAATTACCAGATCCTTGACAAACGGCGCTAACATAGAGCCTACCCGTGCGGCCACAGAGCACGACCCGACCCCCACCTGCCTGATGATCGTGGGGTATATTTCTGCCGCGTATACATAGATAATACCATAAGAGCTGGTGATGAAGAACTTGCCGACCATTGCCACCGTAACCCTTAACCAGATGACAGGGTATGTGATGAACGGTATGAATCATACCGTTCATCACATACCCTGTCATCTGGTTAAGGGTTACGGTGGCAATGGTCGGCAAGTTCTTCATCACCAGCTCTTATGGTATTATCTATGTATACGCGGCAGAAATATACCCCACGATCATAAGGCAGGTGGGGGTCGGGTCGTGCTCTGTGGCCGCACGGGTAGGCTCTATGTTAGCGCCGTTTGTCAAGGATCTGGTACTTGAAATAAATTCTTGTAATATAGCTATAGTTTGCTATTAATATGTGTTTGTGATCCCAGAGCACCTACACCGGTATGGGACTCGTACTGTCCATATTTGGCACCCTTTCCATCGCCGACGGAATTACTATTCATTTTTTGCCCGAAACTCGTGGCAAACATATTGCGGATACCTTTGAAGAGGCGGAGATACTGAACCGGTAGCTCATTATTGGTGTATTTTTTGTGGACAGTTGTGTTAAATTTTGATTTGTTTTTATTTGTACAGAAGGCTTATAAACAATAAGAAAGAACCTGAATATTGCCTTGGTTAGACAATCAATTAGTTATAAATTATAGTTATTTTAATTAATATGAAATGTTATAAAACAAATATTTTATTTTTAATTAACAAAGTTTTTAAAGCATAAGGATTTTAATGACTTGTTTGCGATAACAAAGTATTGGTGATTGTTATATTTTATATGAATAAATGAACAAATATCCATGTTTTATTTTAATTAAATTAACAAATTAATAATGTAATATTTTAATTGGGTATGTATTTATATAACAACAATTAATGTTTAAGTAGTTAATCATTAACCACCGGATTGTTTCTCGGAATGCCTATTAGTTTAATCAAAAGCGCTATTAAAATAGCACTTTATATAATTATTATTTATAATTTTAGAAATTTAATTAATTATTGAACGAAGTAATCAATTCAAATGAATACTATGACATTTGATAAATAAACTGGCTTATATTTTATTATTGTAACATATTAGTTTATAATATAAACTTTAAATGTTTTACATTACTTTTAAGTGACAAACTCTAGAATATACAGAATAGGATAATTCTTTACATATAATATATTATAATTACCGTAGTACATTATGTAAATTACTGTATATTATGGATATGTGTTAATATAAATACATCTTAGCCCACAGATTAGGTCCATGTCCTTAGTATCCCCTTTAAGATTAAAGTTATAGTCTTTTCAGTGTCTCTCTACAGCTAATTATTACACAAAAAAGTTGATTAAAAGTCGCGAATATGTTTGCCATAAGAATATCATTACCGATAATCGATATCATAGCGAGTGTCGTACCGCTGAGCACCGGGTGCTCCGAGAACTACGACTTCGACTACATAATACTATACCTGAATTGGCCGCAAGGCTTTTGCCAGATCACCCAATGTTGTGCCCATCGGGACGTCTGGTCCATAGGCGGCGCGTGGCCTCAGAATAATAGCGACTCTTATCCGCAGTATTGCTGTTTTGAGAAGGACTTGAATGTCACCAAAATTGAATCCATACGCCCGGAGTTGAGTGCCAAGTGGTTCTCATTGAAAGCATCCTGGACCAATGATCGCTTCTGGCGGTACGGGTGGAGGAGACACGGCACCTGTGCCATGAAGGCGCCGCTCCTGAGTGGTCAACACAATTACTTCAGCAATATTTTGATGGCATTCAATAGGCTGTCGATCGACAAGTGGTTGACCGACGCCGGTATCACACCGTCGCTCACCAAACCCTACCCGTTGGCTGACATGCACTCAGCGCTCACCAAAGGCCTGGGATTTAAGGTTAACTGAAGGTGTTTGACCCAAAAATATGGTGTTTACCCGATTTTAGGCGAACTAAGTGTTTGTCTCCGTAAGGAAACACTGGAGCCGTTTGACTGTCCGATAGAAACCGATGCTGAATGTGGTACCGATTCGGTGGCATACATGCCATCAATACAACAAAATAATAATATAGTTATAAATATAAATAACTAAATGTGTATTTATTTTAAAGTATCAGAAAATTTTATTTTATTTATTATATGTGAATAAAAACCATAGTTTGCAATGTTTGGTGTATTTTATTGTCAATGCTTTTTAGATAAATTAATGCAATATTTCATTAAATATTTTAAATGAAATAAAAAAGTAATAAATATTTTGCAACATATTTGCGATTTGAGGCTATCGTTTGGGGAGACCTTATGGATTATTAGGGAATCGTATTAATCAATGCATGAATTCACCAAAACTTTTATACAAATTGTTTTATACACAGGTAACTTTTTTATACAGTCAAATAAAAATTAGTATAGTTTTATTATACAGTATGTCATTCATTATATAAATTCAATTGTCATTTGTATGTAATTTCTCATAAAATAATTTTAAACAAAAGTTTTTATAATTAAATATTTCTATCAATTATATTATTTCAGAAATACAAATGAATTCAATTAATGTAGAAATAAATGAATTTTATGATAAAATAGAACAAAAATAATTTTAATTTTTTTCAATATATTCAACTTCAATTCAAAAGGCTTAATTATTTGATCAAGTTCATCACACAATTCAGACAATAATTTACCAGTATAATTGAGTATTTATTTTATTAACTTGTAAATCAGAATTTATAATCAAAGTAATGACAAAACTATAAACAAAAACAAAAAGTTGACTAAAAAATTAAATTCATATCAAATATAAGTTTTATATTCATAAATGAGATTTACTATGATTAGATATATTATGCAATTAATGTGAGCATTCAGTATATATACGTATAAATTGATAAGTAAGGCAGAACATTTATATAATTATAATAATTATAGTTATTTGGCACTTGACTGAAGTGGTGGCCACTTAATAGTGTTCACAAAAAATATTTGACTTAAATAAATATCTAGGTTCACTAGTCATAAACTTTCTACTAGTATATCATAAACCATGCACTTTAATAACACCACAAACTGATCCAGGTCTTAAAGTTTGGGCTTAATCTTCATGATCGCCGCTTTGAGGTGTTGCGAGTGCTTCCAGGAGTGCCACTGAATACCCTGCCATACGTGGGGCCGACCATGTTTGGCGTAGTAGGGGGCTGTTAGCAAGGCACTGTGGCAATTATGAAACCACCAGCCCCCTTGCAGCTTAGCCGCACAGTTATCAGTGCCGATCACATTGTTATTCCTATCATGTGTTGAGAACATCGACGAGTTATGGGCTACCAGTGCCTGAGCTATTGTCCCGTTGGACTGTATGGCCGGTCCTAACTGTACGCACAAAACCACATATTATTATAGGAGTTCCCAATACGTCTCAAAACAGCTATACTCACGTGTAGGCGATAGTTGTCGGCCTCTCCACCCAACCTAAAGCCGTCGTAAACGATGGACACGTACTCACCGTCAAACGACTCGAGATCCACCTGAAGAATGTGGTTCCCATTGGCGGTCATCTGATAGATATTGTCGAGGCCTAACCAGAACTCCCCGGAATCCATGTCCCCGAAGCCACCCTTATATCCATTCCACGACTGCTCGAAACTGATCCGATGTCGAGTGCGGCCAAAGTCTCCGCGTCTTAAGATCACCTGTCAATTGATATCATTTGGTATCAGATATTATCATTTATTGTGTCATATAGTGGCTGAACATACTGTCCACCCGCCGCCGTTGTCACTCATATCGCAGTACACCCTCAGAGGTCTGGTGTTGGCGATTGTGATCACATAAATGCCATCACAAGTGGATCCGCTATTATAAAGCTCTGAACAACTCTTGGGCGCTAATAATGGCGATGAGTGCTGACACCCCGACTGAGCGCTGGTAGGTTTTTTGGCCAGGCTTATGGTTTTCCGTGTGAATGTCGGCTTAACTAATAGACTACTAGTGTTGACTATAATGGGAGGTATGTCTTGTGGTGGCAGACTTCGGGCCTTATTATTGTTAGGAGTATTTGAGTTACAATTAGACATATATTCCTCGAGTTTACTGCCCATTATCGTCATCTCATTCTCGATGGTGACACTGATCTGATCCAACTGTGTCTCCATTTGGTGCTTCAGGACAGTCATGTTGACTGTCGGGCACTGGTGTGTATGGCTGCCATCCCTATGGGCATTGAGGGTCGGGTGGAAGGCATTGAAAGAGTCGCTTCTGGTCTGTTGAGTGGACTGTCGTCTTGAAGTGCATTCATCTCTAATGGTAAGCATCTCGAGGTTAATGTTGTCCAACGAAGTCATGGTCTCTTTGCCTATTTTGGCCACATTTGACACTTGTTGGGTGATTGAGATCTCAAGTATACTCATCTGCTCCAAGAGTTTCTTCTGCATCTCTTCCATCTGATCCGGGCTCTCATTATCGCCGTTTCCTATGTAACCACTGCTTCCTCCGGAGCGACCCTTCAATAAAATGGTCGTGTCTTTGCTGAGTTCGTAGGTATCGCTAATGATATTCATTATCTTCCGGAGTTTACCATCGCTTTCGCCGTCAATTCGCTTCACTTCTCTGGCAATCTGATCCACAGATTCGCTAATTGTGTTGATCTTCGTATTCATAGACTCCTCGATCGACTTGATCTTAGTCTCAAGTCTATCAAGTTTTTCGTCCAAAAACTTGTGGTTCAGTTTGTTGTGCTCTATCGAGTCGATGATCTTCTCGACCCGGTTTGAGATGAGGGTCAGGGATGTGTCCAGTGATGTCACCCTCTGGTCATTCTTGTCCACCGAAGCCCACACAGTATTCACCGTTTTGTGGATGTCTTCCAAGAGGTCCCGTTTGCGGCCCTTTTGCGACAACCCGTACCCAATGTTACACATTATGGTCAGCAATAGTATTGTAAAACTTATTGTAGTAATTAATTTCATTGTCTCGATATGTTTTTGGTATTATTGTCGTGTATATAATTAAGTCCACTATTAAGATGATAAAAATGATGAAAAATAAATTGACATTTAGTTTACAAAATAGTTTATTAGTGTTTGTATGAGAAAGTAGGAAATCAATTGGACTGTTATGCTGGCAATCAGTTTACTACAGGTTCTTCACTTTGAGTGATTTGTTGATGAACTTCGTGTTTCACTTGTTTACACTACTTCTCTCCCCCTTAATAAATACCCTGATAACTGTCAATAAAATTGCGATTCCTCAACGTATATGAGATATCGATTGAGAAAAAATATTTAACAAATAATTTATCTCTGATATGACGGTTGGGAAAAGTTTAGGCTTACGTTTGCCGTTAGCAATGGCTTAGCATTAGGTATTCATCGGTTTGAAAAAATTGCTGTAAAATAATTGTATGTAAGGGCTGATGGAGGTGTCAATGTTTTATATCAGTCTTGTCATTACGTGCCATAACACTCACATAGATAATTGATAATTATAAGAAACTCACAATTACAACACATTAGTATTGAAAAATAATTTATACAGTATACTTTGGTTTTATATTAGAGATATCAATACAGTATGCATTTGTGATTGCATTGAGATTCAATACATCTGTAAACTTGGCGATTTCAATGTCATTGGTTTTTATAATGTCAAAAAAGGGTATTTAAGTTACTAATAGCTACTAATTTCTTAGGCATTAAGTCATGTAACAAAAATGGCATACCAACTTACTGTACAATAACTTATACAAAATGTTATTAATCATTCATGTAACGTCAAAACACTTGAGTATTTCCGATACATTATTAATAGTGTATTGATTTTCAATGGATTGACAACACTATACGCGAGCAATTAGCTAATTAATTGTCAAAATGCTATTTTTATCCGAAAAGGAACTCATAATTATCAAAAGGAAAACATACCAAACCCTATAAACTTACACAACAGAATACTATAAGAAACCAATTCTTGAGACTATAATTAATATCATTACAAATGTTATCCAAAAAACACAGGAATCTACTCAACAAATAACACGGAAATAAAAAACTTCATTTGTTTTTATCGCATATTTACAGTGCATTTGCGAAAAATGAAAAATAATATCAGAATAGCGTACAATGTAAGAATATGCTTGTATAAATTATATTTATTTTAAATACAAAACAAAACGCAGAAAAATAAAATAATAATAATATGAAAGCAATTAAAAACATATAATTAAAGAGCACTTTCGATGTCCTCGGGTTTGGCGTGTATTTGAGCCAACTTTTCGCCCTTCTTGAGGCCTATGGCGAACGCGTAGACCCGGGAGTCGACTACTACTCCCCGCTTACTATACTCGTTAAGTCGGTCCAGTAGGCCGTTGATGGGCACCTGGTGCACCTCAATCTCGGTATGTTTCTCATTGTGGTGTCCATTAATGAACCCATTTTTAATGGGGTCGTCGCCATCGATGACGAGAGACACCAATCGGATCTTTCCGTCGCATAATTCTGCGCCAAATCCACAGAAATTTGTTATTAAAAATGCAAACCTTTTACTGAAAAACTAGTTTTTCACTGAAACTAGTGATCAAATACCGGGATCTAAGGCGGTCTCGGGGCTGATGTGATGAATATCCGTCGACTTATATCCGGTGTTGTCCTCGACGTCTCTGATGGCCGTCTCGCCGGTCTCCTCATCACTGCTACCCTCCTCCTCGACCACCGGGTGCTCAATGATCTTTGCGGGGAACTCCAGCACATAGGACTTGAGTGTGGGCCGGTACTGTTTGATCAACAGTAGGCAATCGCACAGAATATGCCGCCGAAGTATGGCTATACTCAAGACACTGAGCGCATCCTCGGCCTCAGATCCGTTGGCGACGCTGTACTTCCGCTTAATAATCTCCGCCGACTTGATGACACCCGTGCTGTCCTCAAACGTGTATTTGCTGAGCTGAACGGAGTTGCCGTTAAATAGGAGTTTCTCGTCCACCGGTTTGAACACCGATGTGTCCAAACAGTTGTTGTCGATATCACTTAACCGTCTCATGGCTGGCATCCGTGGTGTAGTCAATGAGATCTTACGCGAGTTACCAGTGTTTGCATCGATATTGATAGTCGACATCGCTTTTTATACCACTTGTTTGTGTGGGGGTTGGCTATACTACCAGTGCAAACACAATAAGTGAGAGATTATAAGTAGCGTAAGATTTCTAGGATTTCTATTGAATGGAAAAATATATGTATTATTAGTATTTACCGGAGAGTTAAGTAAACTTTTTTGGTCAGAGATATAACATGTAAATGCGATTTAACTTTTATGTTAACTTTGAAATAAAGTCTTGAGATAACATGGGGTAGAGTTGCCAGGGTGACACGTGAAGGTTAGCGCTCAGGGAGGGGTGTCCATACAGGGGGCCGGCACTTTTTTGCCGATAAAAAACAAGACTCCGTCTATTGATTAGATATCGACAGAAAAAAGTAATTAATAGTATTTTGTGATTAGGTTTTTGTGAGTTTCAATACATGTTTGTCAATCGTTTTGTCAAAAGGTTGTCTCAATTGGTCTAAAAATATATGCATTTTTATGAGATGTTTGTGTAATTCATACAAAAATGAATAATACTCCAGATTCTGGAGTCCAGAATCCAACACAACAGTGTCAACGGCACCGCTAATTATACAAGAATTGTGTTGTTTTTCGTGAATACATGGCATTCGTATGACATGTGCTCAACACATGTATAAAAAACACAATTCCTATGCTATTAGAAGTGATAGATAAAAGTAAAATTGTTTCAGTGATTAGTCAAACAAATACACTTATTTATTATTGGTTTGTGTGCTATGCACTAATCCTTAACTGTAATGAAATGCAATTCTTACGAAATGTTATTTTGAATTATATTTGTTGTATACTGTGTTACCGTATATTGTATACAGAATTTTGAATCTAAAAAATCGGTTATTGAATCCATAGTAAAAGTATATTTGAGAAATCAATTGCAAATAGCGATGAATAGACTAAAATCGGTCAATAATACCGGTGCAGATAAGACAGTCATCCCAATATACATTTAGTATTACAGTTATATATTTATTTTTATCATTTTCAGACAAACTATTAGATAATTGTAGATCTTTTTAAGTAAAACTATTACAGTTCAATAAATTGTGTGCAAATATTACTATTTAGACAAACAGTTCAATTCACTTATTGTTATGATTTCAATGTCTCTAATAACTTGATTAATGAGAAAAGACTTTTGAACTGTATTTTAAACAATTAAGCATTGATTGAAACATTGTCAATTTATTAACTAATTTCTAATAAATATTTGTGTTTCTGAAATTCTGTAATTTATAGTTATAAGTAGAAGTATTAAATACACGGATAACTTTTAAAAGTTTCCATAACTTTCCAAATGACTACTATCTCTGTCATAGAAATCCTGAAAATTTGGAATCCTACTTGATAATATATAATTATGAATTAGCTATAGTAATGTACTAATAATAGGGTAAATGTAATAAATTGAACTAAATGTAAACTATTAATAAAAATTATTTATATTAGTACATAATTGTTAATAAAAAATTTCACTGCACTTTTAATTGATTTAATGTTCGAGTACAAATATATTGCATAATTCAATCATCTTGATTATATCTATTTAATATGACTAACTGTCACGAGTGTTTTGATTTAAATGCACTGTAAACTTGCACATTTTTTTCATGGGACCACAAACATAATATAAATGTGCACAATTTATGGAAATATACTCAAAAATAAACCTTACAGTCCCATAAGCTTCACGTGTGTTTGTTTTGAACCTAGATCCACTATCTAACAAATCGTTATCGCTTAATAACAATTCAATACTCAATTAATCAGCGATTCTTGACGTGTGAATACCAGTGCCTATAATCATATTCACGTAGGCATTAGACAGTAAGTGTTGGTTCGGGTGAAAACTTGTTTTAGTTTTAGTTTGCAATTAGTTTAGCAATGTATTGATATTATTAATTCACAGAATATTGTATTATAAATATTGAATATCGCAATCAATAAAGATTTTTGTTCAAATATAATGTAATCATATCTGTATTGGTAGTAAATTGTAAATGTAATGCATTTTTTCTGTTATTCAATTAATTTCAAGCAATTTTTTGTTAGATTAGCTGCGAGAGTACAGTTAATGTAATTCAATAAAAATTATATTCATATGACAAAATGATATGTAATATATTAGTACTAATTTGAAATTGATTGCCAAAACGGATATATTAACGCACTTTCGCACTCGTACTCCCGGCGCCTAAACACGTGTACCGCGAAAAGGGTTAAACATTTTCATTATACAACCAATTGATACGAAAAAACTCATGAATTGAATTAGCATTGCATGTGAACCACGGCTGAGACTATTAGACAATCTCTACATTTTATATCAATTGCAAAACTGGAGCCAAAGTTTGTAATCATATTTATAGCGAAAAACTTAAATTGTTTACCAATTGATTGGTTTATTAGCGAAATTGACATTTATCTATAATTTACTTAAAAAACTTTCTTGATTACAGAATATTGCAAAATACAAGTAATTTTTTTTATTTTGTACATTTAATTATTTTCGGCTTATTTTCTAAAGTTAATAAATGTAAGTATTTACTAATGTACTAGTTTATCGTTAATTTGAATAAATAAACAAATACATAGTTTTTAACAAGTATTTCAAATTCTGTGTACAAAATAATATTGTTTTTGCTTTACAAACGCAAACATACTTTTATCTAACTCTTTAGTGATATTCAAATAGAAAACAAATATTTTTACGTATTTATAAAACGTGTAATAAATTTATTTTCCACACAAATCTATTACTTAAATTATTGCTAAAATAACTAATAATCATAATTATTTATAAGCAACAAAAAATTGTTAAAAACAGTTGGAAATCGTTTGGACACACCTTTCCCTACATCTAACAAATAGATTTGTAATAATATTTGTCAAAACAATAATTTAACACTATAAATGATACGAGTTTATAATTTTTTTTACATAAAAACCTTCACTAATTGCTAATACAATTGATGGGAAAAAGTTTTTTGAACTTTGTTTCCAAGTATCGATAATAGTAAGTAAATATATTGTACTGTATAAAGGTTTCACTANTGGTTTGTGTGCTATGCACTAATCCTTAACTGTAATGAAATGCAATTCTTACGAAATGTTATTTTGAATTATATTTGTTGTATACTGTGTTACCGTATATTGTATACAGAATTTTGAATCTAAAAAAATCGGTTATTGAATCCATAGTAAAAGTATATTTGAGAAATCAATTGCAAATAGCGATGAATAGACTAAAATCGGTCAATAATACCGGTGCAGATAAGACAAGTCATCCCAATATACATTTAGTATTATAGTTATATATTTATTTTTATCACTTCAGACAAACTATTAGATAATTGTAGATCTTTTTTAAGTAAAACTATTACAGTTCAATAAATTGTGTGCAAATATTACTATTTAGACAAACAGTTCAATTCACTTATTGTTATGATTTCAATGTCTCTAATAACTTGATTAATGAGAAAAGATTTTTGAACTGTATTTTAAACAATTAAACATGATTGAAACATTGTAAATGTATTAACTGATTTCTAATAAATATTTGTGTTTCTGAAATTCTGTAATTTATAGTTATAAGTAGAAGTATTAAATACCCGGATAACTTTAAAAAGTTTCCATAACTTTCCAATGACTACTATCTCTGTCATAGAAATCCTGAAAATTTTGAATCCTACTTGATAATATATAATTGTGAATTAGCTATAGTAATGTACTAATAATAGGGTAAATGTAATAAATTGAACTAAATGTAAGCTATTAATAAAAATTATTTATATTAGTACATAATTATTAATAAAGCATTTCACTGCACTTTTAATTGATTCAAATTTCGAGTACAAATGTATTTCATAATTCAATCATCTTAATTATATCTATTTAATATAACTAACTGTCACGAGTGTTTTGATTTAAATGCACTGTAATCTTGCACATTTTTTCATAGGACCACAAACATAATATAAATGTGCACCATTTATGGAAATATACTCGAAAATAAACCTTACAGCCCCATAAGCTTCACGTGTGTTTGTTTTGAACCTGGATCCACTATCTAACAAATCATTATCGCTTAATAACAATTCAATACTCAATTAATCAGCGATTCTTGACGTGTGAATACCAGTGCCTATAATCATATTCACGTAGGCATTAGACAGTAAGTGTTGGTTCGGGTGAAAACTTGTTTTAGTTTTAATTTGCAATTAGTTTAGCAATGTATTGATATTATTAATTCACAGAATATTGTACAGTATTATAAATATTGAATATCGCAATCAATAAAGATTTTTGTTAAAATATAATATAATCATATCTGTATTGGTAGTACATTGTAAATGTAATGCATTTTTTCTGTCATTCAATTAATTTCAAGCAATTTTTTGTTAGATTAGCTGCGAGAGTACAGTTAATGTAATTCAATAAAAATTATATTCATATGACAAAATGATATGTAATATATTAGTACTAATTTGAAATTGATTGCCAAAACGGATATATTAACGCACTTTCGCACTCGTACTCCCGGCGCCTAAACACGTGGCAGACATGTACCGCGAAAAGGGTTAAACATTTTCATTATACAACCAATTGATACGAAAAAACTCATGAATTGAATTAGCATTGCATGTGAACCACGGCTGAGACTATTAGACAATCTCTACGTTTTATATCAATTGCAAAACTGGAGCCAAAGTTTGTAATCATATTTATAGCGAAAAACTTAAATTGTTTACCAATTGATTGGTTTATTAGCGAAATTGACATTTATCTATAATTTACTTAAAAAACTTTCTTGATTACAGAATATTGCAAAATACAAGTAATTTTTTATTTTGTGTACATTTAATTATTTTCGGCTTATTTTCTAAAGTTAATAAATGTAAGTATTTACTAATGTACTAGTTTATCGTTAATTTGAATAAATAAACAAATACATAGTTTTTAACAAGTATTTCAAATTCTGTGTACAAAATAATATTGTTTTTGCTTTACAAACGCAAACATACTTTTATCTAACTCTTTAGTGATATTCAAATAGAAAACAAATATTTTTACGTATTTATAAAACGTGTAATAAATTTATTTTCCACACAAATCTATTACTTAAATTATTGCTAAAATAACTAATAATCATAATTATTTATAAGCAACAAAAAATTGTTAAAAACAGTTGGAA